ACGTGTGGTCATCAGCAATGGGCCTGTGATCTCGGCCCAGGCGCCGCCATCTTGGGCCAATAAAGAAGCTAATTTCATGCAAATGCCTCCATTACGCTTCATAGAATTGCCAATTATACGCCATAGTGATGCCTTTCCACCCAATCCCCATTTCGATTTTATTGCTTCACTTTTTGAAATTGTTTAGACATGGCTTAAAAATCCTTGTCGGCCTCACAGCCTGCGCGTGTCTGCACGAGCCACGTACACATGTACGTCACGTGTGCCGTGCGCGTGTCTGCACGAGCCACGTACACATGTACGCCACGTGTGCCGTGTACGTGTCTGCACGAGCCACGTACACATGTACGCCACGTGTGCCGTGTACGTGTCTGCACGAGCCACGTACACATGTACGCCACGTGTGCCGTGCGCGTGTCTGCACGAGCCACGTACACATGTACGCCACGTGTGCCGTGCGCGTGTCTGCACGAGCCACNTGCGCTCAGTGAGGGTAATGACGCTCGTGTGGCGCTCAGTGAAGGTAATGACGCTCGTGTGGCGCTCAGTGAGGGTAATGACGCTCGAGCTGCGCTCTGTGAGGGTAATGACGCTCGTGTGGCGCTCAGTGAGGGTAATGACGCTCGAGCTACGCTCTGTGAGGGTAATGACGCTCGTGTGGCGCTCAGTGAGGTAATGACCGCGTTAGCATTTCGTTACAGATCTGTGATGTCGACAACGGAGATTAATGTCGCTCTGCATAAACTAATCTCTGAAATTCCTGCTTTAGCCTAAAATCACATAATAATGCTGAGTCAGAATATAATCCTATCATGCATTACGCCTCATATCGCAGTCAACGCAGAACGTATGCTTCAATCGTCCTCCAATTCGTCAAGGATGGACAAAATTTTTCAGGCGTTTCGCAATCATGATGGTAACTCAACTTGGTCACTCACGATCGTTCGTCCAATTTGAGCTTCAATGCGAAAATTGAGCGCGTCCATTACAACACTTACGGCACTTGGGCTTAATATTATTGCACCGGCAGCAATGAACACAAAAAATTCGTCACATTTGGGCCTAGTGACAATGATATGCGCACGTCATGCAGATGGTTTATGTCTGGGCGGCGGCTCTCGCGACGGAGAGTGAAAAGGATGCGCATTCCGCATTTACCACATGGCAGCAAGGAAATGTTGAGAAATTTTTCCTTCCTACCTGAAGAAAATTTTCAACAAAAAATATGCTCTGTATGACAAGTGCATCTGTTATGATAGATCAAGTATAAGAAGGGTTTCATTCCCGCAATAAGTAAAGACGAATATTGCAATGATAGGTGTTAGAAGCAACTCGCATTTCTGGTTACTAAATAAAAATCAACTATTCGTCACTTCCATTGAGCATAGGAGAATGATCCAGAAAATACCGTAAGTATGAACAAACGTTCGAAAAAAACGGATGTTCTCCTAGTTTTGTAGTGAGAGCAGAGTTTGGGGCTCGGTCGTTGATCGTTAACGGCGGTCATCAGGCGTAGTCAGCGGCTGACCTTTAATTTGGCCGCAGTAAATTTAGTTCCCGTATTTTTAGGGAGCCCAGGTTTTGCAGCGAGGCTATGGCCTGGCAGCCAAACTACAGCCTCTGGTATAGGGGGAGAAGGTCGTAAACTCAGTCCACTGCACGCCACGCTGTTGTGGTGCAGTGGCTGCAAACACTGCCCGTCTTGCTGCAGTGCCACACCACTGCACGCCACGCTGTTGTTGTGCAGTGGCTGACCACACCACTGCACGCCATGCTGTTGTGGTGCAGTGGCTGCAAACACTGCCCGTCTTGCTGCTGTGCCACACCACTGCACGCCACGCTGTTGTGGTGCAGTGGCTGCGAACACTGCCCATCTTTACTGCCACACCACTGCACGCTGTGCATCAGACAAACATCAAAGGATTTACTGCATTGATGTCCCTGTCGTACGAGATGCTGCTGGGCATGTAAATACGCCGCTCTCCCATAGGGACCGCACCACTTCATGGCATATTGCAGTGATGGTGAGGGAGCTCCACGGAACTCTACAACTTGCCTACATGACCGTGCAGGTTCAGTTGGTTAATGATAGATCATTACCAAACCACTTTATTGCATTACTGTCTAAATCGTAAATTGTTATCTTTTTTCCTTATAAATTAAAAAGTTATATAATCACGCGCTGTAAACTATAAAGAATAAACGATCAGACATCATGAATGTTAAATCCTTCAACTCAAGTTTCGTAGTTTACGACTTTCCCCCGCTCCGCCTCTTTCTAGTATTATTTCAATTCATATTATTCATTTATCTATTATTATCTCTATTATTATCATTATTATTATTATTATTTTCTGGAGGCTTTCCACGTGGCACCAAATAATTAAATAATCGTCTAACCTTAGCTTCCCGCACGTTCCGTTCGGTTAACCCTTTAAATAAAACGACGATAGACAATGTGAAAAAATGGAAAATTTCTAAGCAAATATTACCTCTTCAAAATGATACGTTAACAATTCCTAATGAATCCATTCCCTTATAACGGTTCAAGAAGTTGATATCTCTTTCATCCAGCCAACATGCAGAAGCTAAGTTCCTTCTTGTAGTGGTTGCTCAGTACACCACACGCAGTGACTATATGCAGGACCTCACCGCGATGCAGCAACGCAGATGCGAGAAGTCAGCTCATGCAAATGCATTTTATCTAAAAGATTTTTCTCCTTTTGCGGAGACATGCGACCAATCAAGACCAAGAACTGGTAGAAAAAACACTTAAATATTTTTACAAGGCTAGGTTTTCAGAAAGTATAAACGAAAATTCAAACACATCGCAAAAAAAATCCTCAAACCATTAGCCAAGAATCATTTTAGCCATGATGAACAAGCCGAGGATTCGTTGGAGGCCTAGGGAGTAGAGCGACCAACCCCTTCACCTGGTGAAATGAATGGCTCATATTGCCCAAATAGTGGCACACTTTCCGCACGTAGCACCGAAACGCACGTTTGCCGTGTCTAATTGTGTTAGGATGACCTAACAAATTAAGAACAAAAAAAATGTATCGCTATATATTCGGGCCGATAAAGTCTCAACATTTCCCGAGTGTGGTTCCGAGGGCAGTGACTCCACTTTCTGCACTCAATTACAATCTGCACTTATCTAAGGTTGTTCTGCACTTAATTACGTTGTGTAAAAAAGAAACTTTTTACGATTGTTAAAGCGCAACTGAAAAATTATCTTATTTAGGGGTACTTGACAGAGAGACAATATCTTCCAGTAAACAGCAATACTTTTCATTATATGGAGATGCTCATTAATGTAGTAAGCTGCGTGTAGTGTAAATCGTTTCTTGAGAAGCATTATATCTTTTTTCTGAGAATGATGACTCTGACACATATTTCTCGATAACAATTTTCATCATTTAATAGCTTCGAAATAACAACGGAACTTGGAAAATTCAACGCTCATTCGTACCCAGACAGCGAACAATTTAGGATATAAGAACGCGACTTAACTACAATAAAATTCTATGATAATATTAAACAAACACCAGGTATACTTAGCCGGCCTTAGTTTACCATCTTATTTCTACCAGACCTTCATGCAGGCATCATTTGTTTAAGTGAAAACAAATCTCCAAACTTTAACTAGGTGATGGCCAAGACGCATTTTATTCGTATAATTATATACAAACTGTTCATAAACTTCAGATGTATGATGGAGTAAAAATAGGCCCTTAGGAAACACAAACAAAGCTGGTGCAGCAGCACGGAACCTGCAATCTCGTTAGTGAAGCTTCAGTAGAGAATATTTTTATAGTGCACCTTAAATAATTGTAAATCTTGATTATACCGTCGCACGTAACTCTACTCGCGTCTCGTCACATAATGCCAGCTGGACAGAATATTTATACTTCATGCCGTTAAATTTGATAAGTGAAACCTTTCTCAGAAACGACAATATATATTAAGTAGTCATTAGTTGAGATACTCATCGGTTAAATAGAAATTAATTGTGATCATCGTTGAAATAATGCTGGAGGCGGATGAACTTAGCAAGATCATGAGCAGACCAAACGGAGGAAAATTAGCAGTAAGAAAAAAAAAGATTTTACACCCCGATGCAAAGCGAGAAAGAATGGCCATGAAATTTTGAATCTTAATTGGAGGCCTAACACCAAAATTTCTTAGAAAATAAAAATACTGGGTGCAATTATTTACAATAGACCACAGGACAGAATATTAGGTTGAGGCAGGAACTCAAAACTTGAATTGACAACGAATTTGTTTTATAAATTTATTAATTACTTAAGAATGAATGACAAGCGCAGGAATTATCGAACAGGAACGATTGGACCCAGGCTCACGGGAGACATGGCGACGCAGGCAAGTTATTCGTGGCGTAAATTGAAAGCAAACACGAGCTCGCCATGAGAGAATTCAGCGAACTTGAGCCTTCATTTCGTTCATTGAAGATCCCATTCAACTGCCCTGTTGAAAATCAGGGCTGAATAATCGTCGCACATTCTACGGTCGATGGGGAACCGGTGCTGCAACGCCGGAGTTTCTAATAGTTCATCAGGGTAAACCCCGACAAAAATATGAAGAGAGAACAAAATTGAATAGGAGTTGAAAAATAAAATTTCACAAATCTATACAAGAGTTGAACATTTTTAATAACTGAGTCGTATAGAAAAACAATGGTAGTTATCTAGTGCGCCAATCAAGCGAAGAATATATAGCACAGAGAATACAAAGCTACAGCAATATTATTTTAACTTCACTCCGATTCTGATCCGTATTTCATTTCTTAAAAACGATTTAATTGTATATTACTTAACATTAGTTGATTGTAATTAATCTTGTAAAGGCTGAAAACCAACCTAAATTATAGTTTAGGCCCAATAAAAAGTTCTGAAGTAATAATCAAGTATTTCGAGGGCAATCTATATACTAATAAGAGCACGTGCATGTTTATAGAATTCTAATTCTACGGAACTCACCATTTCAGTTTCACCATCGTACGAAAGTCACCACTCGGAACCTGGAAAATAGATAAACGTGTTCAGGACAAAAGATGTCTAATTCATTTTAAGAAATGAAGACAATATTAGGTCATGAATATAACTCACTTGGAATAACAACGACACTTGGACAGAATCACTATCCGTAAAAAATTATTAGGTGGGTCACAGTTATTCCGAAGTTGTTACATTTGTGATGTATTGTACATCAGCTGTCATATATTATGTGATCGTGAAAAGTCGTGAAGTCCTTGAGGGCGACGCATCACGTGTCCGTGCACTAGCAAGTCCCAAACTCGTCATAAGGCAAGGTCATGAGTACGGTAAAAAGTGGTAAGACCAGCCGTTGTGTCGTGAACGAGAAGAGTACATGAGTTAACACCCGCTGGTGTGATGTATACAACCTGAGTTCAATCAAACATGTACAAAGCTGGGTTCAATCCAACAAAAATGTACATGTACAAAGAACCATGTAGGAAGCTGGGTTCAATAAAAAAAAATGTACATGCACAAAGAACCATGTAGAAAGCTGGGTTCAATCAAAAAAAAAATGTACATGCACAAAGAACCATGTAGAAAGCTGGGTTTAATCAAAAAACATGTAATGTACAAAGACCCATGTACAAAGCTGGGTTCAATCAAACAAAAATGTACATGTACAAAGAACCATGTAGAAAGCTGGGTTTAATCAAAAAACATGTCCATGTACAAAGAACCATGTACACACCTAGGTTCAATCCAAGTTTGTACCGGTAAGCGCAATAGTTGGTCCGCACAGCGTTGCTCTCGCAGCCGGCAGCACGAAATGGTATAGGGACGATGGACGTCTAGTTTATTACACAGATGCCGTGAAGGGCATTAAAATACAGCTAAACGTATTTCTTTCCCAACTCTCTACAAGGGCTACAAAATAAAGAGGGAAACGTTTGCGAATGCGTATTTTAAAGAACCAAAAATAAAGCGTCTAACAAAGCACTATAATTTCTTTTCGTGAATGGCACAAAACTTAGACCACAGATATTTTATTTTATTTTTTTAGATAAATAATAGACTTATTTCATTATTTTTTTAGATAATATTTTACTTGTGCTTAAGGGAGCAAACCAGGCACTGATTATTCTTCCAACTTTATCAATTTCCCATTCTCAAAAAGGAATTCTTGAAAACTACCACCGAATAATCAAGGTCTTTTGTAGAATTCGTTGCGAACATATATCGTCAATAACAGCCTGATTACCTTTCAAGAATAACAGCATAGTAGATTTGATACTAACAAGACGCTTATTGACCCTGTAATACGACACAATATCAAATGCAAATATCCGACACACAGCGTAGTCCAATTAAGCAAATCAGGACGTTGCAATCGTCTGTCATTTACGAGCGCAATATCTAGGACAATCACGACGGAGGCAATAAATTCTGGGCCATTGCATGACGTCGTCTGGCATGCAATTTGCACCACGTGCGTCCCAGGCGGCTGAGCAAGACGCTGTGTCGGAGCGCGGCTGCTGTGAGGGCCTTAAGGCAAATATTGCACACGTCGGGGACGATATTGAGCGACACGCGACTGCACCATGCGTCTCTAGCAACGCCTTATGGGTTACTTGTCTGGTGGTGCTGGAGTGGTGAGTCTGGTAGTGCTGGGGGAGTGGTGAGTCTGGTGGTGCTGGGGGAGAGGTGAGTCTGGTGGTACTGGGGGAGAAGAGAGTCTGGTGGTGCTGAGGGAGAGGTGAGTCTGGTGGTGCTGAGGGAGAGGTGAGTCTGGTGGTGCTGGGGGTGAGGTGAGTCTGGTGGTGCTGGGGGAGAGGTGAGTCTGGTGGTGCTGGGGGAGAGGTGAGTCTGGTGGTGCTGGGGGAGAGGTGAGTCTGGTAGTGCTGGGGGAGAGGTGAGTCTGGTGGTGCTGGGGGAGAGGTGAGTCTGGTGATGCTGAGGGAGAGGTGAGTCTGGTGATGCTGGGGGAGAGGTAAGTCTGGTGGTGCTGGGGAAGAGGTGAGTCTGGTGGTGCTGGAAGAGTGGTGAGTCTGGTGGTGCTGGGGGAGAGATGAGTCTGGTGGTGCTGAGGGAGAGGTGAGTCTGGTGGTGCTGGAGGAGTGGTGAGTCTGGTGGTGCTAGGGGTGGTGAGTCTGGAAAGACTCACAAAACTTATCAAGTTCGGCTACCCAGATGTCCGTAAAATAAATGCACGACCATATGGAAGACACAGGCCACATGGCGTCATAGAATTAGGAATGACAAATGGCGGTGGAAGAAAGATGGCATAATAGACAAGGGAAGAATCGAGCGGCAAGTTCAGTTTATTTGTTTGTTTCTTCTTTTCGCGGCACATAAGCTTCGTTTTTAAACATCCCTAGTGATCATTCAAATTTTCTGCGATGTACAGGTGCACAATACTTTTATTTTAACCTAGAATCATTTAGTAAATATAACAAATACAGTTATTCCACAGTTCCTATACACTAAATAGATAAGTTTTCCAACCATACAATCAACTCATTTTCCCGATGAAGGAAAGCTGAACTTCACACACATCCTGCTGGTATGATCGAACGATATATGCTGATTGCAAGGAATGACAGGTAGGAATGATCTACGTGCTATGAGGATCAGTCGTCGTTAGCTCGTATCTCTCCACCAATATTGCCAGGAACTCCCGAGGCATCTCATTAATATTCACTCAACTCTAGGAATCAATTCCAAGTTTCTGCAAAGAAACAGCATCGCTGGACGTCAGTCGCCCAGAGCGCCAATTGATTGGTCTGTGTCTGTCATGTGACACAACTTTACGCTGCTTTGAGATCACATCCCTTTTCTCAATTGAATCAGGCGTGAGGTAATAAGGAAAATTGAGGCAATCAATTCAAGAAATAAGTTTCAATGTAATTTGTGAACACTTATAGTAACGTGGAAAATATAAACTCGAGGAATTAAAGTTAGAGTTGGTCAAAGATGGTGGCGTAGCTACAGGATATGTAAAATTTATTTGTTCATTACTCTCATAAGACTTCAGATTGACAAATTTCCTCGATCAAGAGCTACGAATTGTCAATAAATAATTATCTTAAATCGTCATTTATCATGCAGTTCTTTCAACTGAAATAATCAGCTGTATCCTCGACACTGCATAATGACTCAGCAGTATCCCTGACACTGCCAATTTAATAACTAAACATCAATTAACACACGATGGCCGCGACAAGCAACCCACTCAATCAATCTAATGAGGTGTTGGCTCGCCGCATTGACGAGCTCAAATAGAGCTGAAGCTACAGCCACGTTTTGTTGCGCTCAAATTGAGACAATTTTTTCGAGTTGATTATGCAGCGTTCACAATTGCCACAGCTCATGTCATTTGGCGCGCATTTGTATGCAAATTTGAAGAATTTAAAAACGGGGCACACTAATAGCTTCGGCGCGGCCGCTTTGCCGCGTCACATCACGAACCTCGCAGCAAAAACTCGTCCTGAGCCTTTCATCCGCTGCAGGAAATAAATTATCTACAACAAAATTCGACATATTCCTACAAGGAAGAATTTCGCATCATGATTTTACGACATTATATGATCAATGCGGGCGAGATCTCACATGCCATAATAATTCACAAGGATCAGCAAATAACACTTATATACCGTTCCCCACTATATTAATATACGCTTTCTTTGCTTATGTCAATATACATTAATGGTAGATTAAAATAATCTAACTTCAAATTAATCAACAAATTCAAATAAATTGACCACGAAATCATCCTGATACAAAAAGACACCTCATAATTGTTATAAAATTGTTCCGGTCTATGCATTAATACCCAACAAAAATAGGGGCTCGATGACTTTAGGTTGCCGTACATGGGTCACTTCTGCCAACACGCGGCGGCAAAAAATCAATAAACCGAGTTCATAATGAATGCAGATCAAATTTATCGTAGGCAGCCGATGATTCATAGGTCACCATTTATCGATTACATAATCAAGGCTTACAGCGAATCGAAATCTCTCAATAGCTGCTGGTAAAGAGTTTTCAGTGTATGCAAATTTGAAAACTTATTATTTCACGAGTTGTTTTATTTTTGAGGACATGGTCAAAATTAAAGTCTGAGATATATTTCGCACACTAAGTGATTTATTGAAGCCTATCAACTTATTGGGTTGTTACCCTATGGAATATTATCCCAAACTGAGGTCAATTTCAATGTAAAAGGTTTTTAAAATTAAGCCCACGTAAAGATTTAAACAAGAGGACAAATTTCATCAAACGTTTCAAACAATAAGATTAGTCACACACCGAATTTCTTCCTTACAAATTCAATGGACGAATATTGTCTCTGAACGAGTAGAGTAGCCGAGTAGATGCGAAGGACCATGTTACTAGGAATTATTTGTCAACTAATTGAGATGGCTTTCGATGGCACTCTGACGCGTCAATGTATAGGTTGTCGATGGAAGAATAATTTTACTCGAAGTGCGGCTTTCAGGACACACTATCTGTGCCCCATGGACAGAGTCATCCGATTATAACCTTTACGCCGTCGGTACACTAGCGCCATGGGTACTACCCTTTTAAAAATGATACTAACTACAGCCTCTGTGTCCGTGTGTCGTATAAAAGCCTTTACGCAATCAGTACACTAGCTTCCTGCATGGGTACTACCCTTGCTATACGAATAGGTACTAGCTACAGCCTCGGTACATCTACACGCTTGGTGTCCGCAACCATGGTATACCCGTCATCTAACTGATGCACAAAATCGTACGTGGCATTAAGTTGATCTAAATTGGTGTGCAGATTGACAATAATAATGGTGCAAATATTGCATGCCGAGAAATTTAATTCATCGCCAATACTACTGTAATTTCACCATAGCATCATGAAACTCAAGTACGCTCCCGCTGCATGGCTTTTTTCAATCAATTGATATTCTAGCTTAAACATGATCAATAGTAATTAATAGTTACAATCGTCTAATATTATTATTATTATTATCAATCTAATATTATTATTAGCATCAATCATTTCTAAA